TCAACACTTCAGCTATCAGTGAGAAACACTACTAAAATATCAATGTTTTGGTACGCAGAAAATTAAAACACATAATGGAAAAAGAAAAAAAGGGTCCTTCAAGGGTAAACAGTACTTCAGAAGTCCTTTAAAGGTCTTGCACACTCAAACCTGGAGGGAGAGTGCTTCAACTTTTCAGCTTTCTCTAAATCAAACACACACAGGGTGTAAAGATACTTGGAACAACGAACCTTGAATTTCACTACATCCTTTCCTCTCTTGATCTTCACAGATCTAGCATCTTTCCTTCTAGCAGTAAGAAGGAAATCTTTGATCTCGTGAATTTTCTTCGGCATTTTCTCCCTTTTTCCAAACCCTGCTGCTCAAAATTTCAAGAGGCTTTCAACGGCACAATATAGAGCAAGATATGATCGCATCAAATTCTACACGAGTTCGGAGTGAAATAAGAAAAACATTTGTGAATACATGGTTAATCTGTAACTTTTAATTAATGTAATGTAAATGAAGTTGGAACAATAGCTTTAGAGCTCCGATATATCTTTCCAACGAGATATAATACGCCCCAAACGGATAAACACACAGCAGGATATGAGTGTCACAAATACTTAGCATTATCTCTATGATTTAGCGTTTTCAGCGAAAATAGAGCACTTTTAGCGTAAATACAGTGTATTTTAGTAATTAGGAAATAATCCCTTGATATTTTGAAACCAGCGCCTGAAGACAAGTTTTAGAACTCTGTATGATATTTCCAACGAGATATTAAACGCTTTCAACGGCACAAATTAGAGCAAGATATGATCGCATCAAATTCTACACGAGTTCGGAGCGAAATCAGAAACATTTGTGAATATATGGTTAATATGTAACTTTTAATTAATGCATTGTAAATGAAGTTGGAACAATAGCTTTAGAGCTCAAATCTATCTTTCCAACAAGATATAATACGCTCCAAACGGATAAACACAAAACAAGATATGAGTGTCACAAATACTTAGCCTTATCTATATGATTTAGCGTTTTCAGCGAAAATAGAGCACTTTTAGCGTAAATACAGTGTATTTTAGTAATTAGGCAATCATCCCTTGATATTCTGAAACCATATCCTGAAGACAAGTTTTATAACTCGGTAAGATCTTTTCAACGAGATATTAAACGCTTTCGACGGCACAAAATAGAGCATGATATGATCGCATCACATTCTACACGAGTTCGGAGTGAAATCAGAAATATTTGGGAATATATGGTTAATCTGTAACTTTTAATTAAGGCATTGTAAATGAAGTTGGAACAATAGCTTTAGATCTCCATTCTATGTTTCCAACGAGATATAATACGCTCCAAACGGATAAACACACAGCAAGATATGAGTGTCACAAATACTTAGCCTTATCTCTATGATTTAGCGTTTTCAACGAAAATAGAGCACTTTTAGCGTAAATACAGTGTATTTTAGTAATTAGGCAATCATCCCTTGCTATTTTGAAACCAGCGCCTGAAGAGAAGTTTTAGAACTTGGTAAGAACTTTCCAACGAGATATTAAACGCTTTCAATGGCACAAAATAAAGCAAGATATGATCGCAACAAATTCTACACGAGTTCGGAGTGAAATCAGAAACATTTGTTTATATATGGTTAATCTGTAACTTTTAATTAATGCATTGTAAATGAAGTCGGAACAATAGCTTTAGAGCTCCGATCTATCTTTCCAACGAGATATAATACGCCCCAAACGGATACACACTCAGCAGGATATGACACTAGTAGAAAAAGCGCCTATAGTGACACTAATTTAGTGTCGCAGAAACTTTCAGCGACACTAAAAAAGCGTCGGGGAAAGTGGCGGCTAGCGACACTATATTTAGTGTCACTGATGCGGGGACGGTTTTGTGTCAGCAAATAGTGACACTAATTTATCGGCTAAAATAGCGACATTTATGCATCAAGAATACATTGTGACATTAATACATCATAGATTTTTATGACACTTTCAGCATCATAGATTTTTATGACACTTTCAGTATCATACATTTTTATGATACTTTCAGCATCATAGATTTTTATGACACTTCAATGTCACTTGGTTGGTTTTGTTAATTGGGCCTATATAGGCCTAGATAATATGCCCATGGTAGCTTTAGTAGAATTCAAATTTATTGCTTACTTCATTCATAAATATTATAACATCCAAAAATTAATGGATACCCAAAACACATCATTTAACATATAATATTCAGTAACAATTTCACATTCTTGTTCAATTACATTTCCTACTGCCGGATAAAAGATATAGAAAAATTCCAGCATGCAATATTCCCGCAAAAAACCGGCTATTGAAATTCAGCAAAAAATTACTACCAAGCATCATTGAAGATGCTAAAATACAAACAAGTCACATTCCCAACAGGTACCAATGTTTAGTTATCAAAAGTTTGACCTGCCTCTACATTCTACAAACATAACATAACACCGACCATTCTAACCGCCATCAACAATAATCAGAAATGCATCTCCCCGTGCATATCAAGCCTTTGTAGGATCCGCTTGCGCACTACATATCAAACAAAATATAATATTACATCCATATATTATGAAACTTATTTTCGGTAAATTTTAAATGTGAACTTACTTTTTTTTATCAAAGTAGCAGCATACAAAGCCCACTCCTCATGCACTTGTAAAATATCATCTTCGGTATACTCCTTGACGGTAGAGAACTTCAATGTAAAATTAAATTGATAAGCACTTACTATCATTACAAGATACACTAATTAATTAATTGCGCTCACATTCTGTTTCAAACGATTCACGTCAGATACAATATCCTTCATGTACTTCATCACAAAGTAACCACACTCAACTCCTCCTGTTTGCTTAGGGCACTGCATATATTCAATTTAAATAGACAGTAAATACAAACTAAGATTTACTAAAAACAAAGAACAAGTTATAGTAAAAAAATAATACAGTCAAGTATTGAATGTATTGCAATAATTCACTTCTTTGGGCACTGCATATATTCAATTTAAATAGACATTAAATAAAACTAAGATTTACTAAAAACAAAGAACAAGTTATAGTAAAAAAATAATACAGTCAAGTATTGAATGGATTGCAATAATTCACTTCTTTAACTCACTTCTTTAAAACAAATTGCAATAATTCAATAGGAGTATGCTTCATGGATTGGCCTTTCCAAAGGTATTTTATTCTTTTTTATCTTTTGGACCAGATTCCCTTGGGAGGTTGAGCCATGATTTTTATGCAACTTGAGACTTGCAAGTAGGTATATGGAATGGCTATTACCCTATTTGCCCATGACATGTGAAACAGATAGATAACATCACCATTTGATCCAGATTTTTCACTATAATATTATTTCAGAAACTACCTTCTTCATATCCTGTGCATCTACCCTCTATCATTAATTCAGAAACTACCTTCTTCATATCTTGTGCATCTACCCTCTATCATTTACATTGATTTAATTAACTAACAAACTAATAATAATAGAATTATAAACAAATATTTTCTGGCCGGGACAGTTCATACTGATTAAAACTTGTAGCATACAAATCACAGCCGCTAATTTAAAAACTTGCAAATGATAAATATTGTTCCTAAGGATGGAGTATCTAAAATAAGAATAGAACTTGCAAAAGGGATGATCTGTCTTTCCATATTTCAAAAATGCAGTTCCAATTATGGACCTTACATGTAAGGTCGAAGGGATCTCACATGTATGGTAAAATGCTATTCATATGAACAATATAGAATTAAAACAGCTCCTAAACACATTCAGATTAAATAAAATTAACAGGTGTCACATCTAATATGTAGCACAGACTGCACAGTTGAGATTCAGCGAAGTTTCACGGTTGCAACTTACAAGAGATGAGTATCTAAATTCAGAAAATAACTGAACAACCATGGTTCATAACAAAGACCCATTAATTTTAGTGAACTGCCTTTCCGTACTACAAAACACCAGTTCAGATTTCTGATCTTTAGTCAAAAGGATCTCATGTACAAATCACAGCCGCTAATTTATACTAAAAGTGATAATAAACATCAAGGGATACATACCATCACTCTCACCAATTTTAAATTCAACCTTTTCTTGGATTTTTGGGCATGATTAATCGTCACCCCTCTGAAAAGGAAACACAGTCATTATTAAAATTCAACCGATCCAATATTTTCTCATCATTTAAAGGGCCTATGTAACTTAACTGATTCATGATTTCCTCCAAATCCTTCGATGGAATTCCTCCCAAGGAATCTAGGTAGTAAATCGTTTCAGCCGCCATGTTGATGGCGACCAACACCCAATGATTTCTACATAACAATGAAACTATATGTAATTACAAAAGCACCATTGTTTGCAAATACAAGTCACTTGCAAAAGAGATTACTTACCCGGTATTATAGGGGATTAAAGTCATTTGTCCAAGCAAGGAAATATCCAAAAGATCAGCTATGTATTGTGACCTCCTAGTAACCGCTTGGTGTGATGCCCTCTTTGGTATTGCTATGGCAGCAGAAGTACCAAACTGGGCTGGCATGTCCCCTCCATCAGCCTCCATTTTCTCATGCAAGTACCTATTAAATTATTACTAATCAAGTTGAATTAAGTTCATTCATTTTGATGTTTATAATAAGATACTCTTACCACTTTATACTGTAATACAATAATGATTTTAATGCAATTGAATGTAATATATAAAAAATGGGAACTTATTACCTCGCCCAAATTTCAACAACTGAATTTGAAACCTGCTGAAAGTTGATAACAGAGAGGCAAACCTCCTTGTTAAACATAGTTTTTGTTTGGAATCCAAAAATTCCAGCATCTTGCTTGATGCTGTTCATCTCTCCTAAACAATTATCCACTAAAATGCAAAACATCATCATGTTAGCGCTTTGTTCCTTTCTTTTTTCAGCAACGGACCTGGTCATTCTTTGCACATTTAGCTGGGACTTAGCTTTCATTCCAGTCCTTATCTCTTTCACAAATACCACCTCGCACCCCTGTTTTTGTTTTCCCTCCACTCGGTCATTCTCCATATTTGCTATTGACTGATCTTCCTCTTCATTCATATCCTGTATGTAGCATAAAGTGTGCATGTAATTTACAAACATTACTATCGTATTTAATTAAATAAACATATGCAACTAGACGTCTAACCATATCATGGGAGTGAGCATTGGCTTGTCCTAAAGTATCCGTGTTTATGTGCTGAGGGGAATTTCTGGGAACACTTCCAAATAGCTTCTTCCGATGAGTAAATACTGGTTTCTCCACCTCTCCAACAGTCTATATCATAGAAGTTAACTATTTATTAATAACTATATCTCAATAAACATTCACTTAGAGATGTAGTTGTACATACCTTCTGCATTCCATGACTCTCACCCTCGGGTTGTTCATTATTACCCTCCATTTCAGCATGTTTCAACTTCAACCTGGGAGATTTTCTAGGAGCACTGCAGCGTTCCTTCAAAGGACTAAGTATCGACTGCTCAACGTCATCACCAGCCTTAAAATGACAAATACGTATTAAACATAAAAGCGTAAATAAGGTGCAAAATTATCCAGCAGAAGTTATGTGTGTACCTTTCTTTTCTGAGATTTATTGGCATTGCTGCAACTACCAATTTCACTAAAAGCATTGGACACATGATCTTTCATTTCACTAAACTTCTGCAACATCATTTCATACCTTCTATCACATACGTCTTGTGCTTTGTCCTTCTCGGTTTTGGTTGCCTTTGGCGTGTAAAAGTATCGTGTTGGGGTAATGAAGTGCCCCAACCCCTGTACTCCACTGCCATTTGGTTTTTTCTGAAGAGCAACTGAGAGCACATCATCGTCTCCACGAGGCACAAATGACCCTTCCTTCACCTTATTTTTGAGCTCCTTCTACACAAACAAACATGTTACATCAGAGCATTACTAGAGCATTACCATGTTGTGTCAAACAACATTTTTTTATTCTAAAAAGAGCATAAAACGAGTCAATTAATTGACCTCAGTACACTGGGAAATTTTTTACTAAAAGATGCATGTTCATATTCATAAAATTATTACAACCCTTACTATTTCTTCTGCAACTTCCAAAACCTCGGGATCATATCCACCATCTTTTCTTTCTCTTCCCAAGAGCCATGTATCCGCTCGATCAATGTCATTGACAGTACTTCCAAGTTGTTCTTTCTTTGAGTTTTGAAAACAGAAAAGGTATATCATCTAAATACTCATATACACAATCGAATAATTTTAATAAATGAAGATTAGAACAAACCTTCTTTAAAAGTAACCCTCCATAACCTGTTGAACCTAATCGGTGATTATATATATTCTTCTTTCGATTTTCACATGCTTTTTTGCTTTTTTCCTAAAAGCATTTAACAAAATTATTACATATATTCACAAATGTTTCTACTTATATTAAATGCATTAGTAAGTTCTATCACCTGGAATTCTTCTGTAAAGCACCTCTTCACAAATATTCTCCATTGATCAGTACCAATGTGCTTATATTCTTTTGGAGGTAAGCTTAACTTCTCGGGCTCATCCATGTGTTGTGCAATGAATTCAGTGTACAAAGTGCACCTAAAAGTTTTATGTGCAGCTCCCATTGTTTGGAGTATATGTTTCTCTGAAGTAGTAGGCAACACAAACAGATCCTACATCCAAAAGAACATTATATTATTGAATGAATAATAAAAAACTTAAAGACTACAAATAAACTGAAAGAACTCCACACTTAAAGACTAAAAAAGTAATTGACAAAGTTAATAGCAGCTCACATGCATATAGTTTCTTACCTGAATATGCGTCAACATATCATTTTTCAACTTAAGCGGGACTCTTCTCCAGTCATGGTACACTATGGGCACATGGTCCCTGACTATAACCCCAAGGTAATTAGACAGTTCCGTCCAGCCCTTACCTTCTAAAACACCAAGCTCATTAACTTCCACAATCACTTTATGATCACCACTTTTCTTCAACATCATCTTCTTCTTTGTCTTTTCTCGCCTACGTGGCCTCCCATCCAGTTCATCCCTATCAACATTGTCCATGTCTTCATTTTGATTCTTCATATCAAACTGTATCCTACATAATAACAAGATTATACATACAAATAAACTTATTTTCCTTTGAATTGAATTACAAATCACAAATAATACACAATTGAAGTAAAATAAACCAGAAAGTTATGTAAAAGTAATACTTACTGAAACGTAGCAATGAATTCATTCCAATTTTGACTAATTGGATTATTAATTCGCATCACAAAGTACTCTATCATAAATTCCATCATCATCTGGGGTTTCCAAATCAAGAATTTGTGTTGGGTAATGTGAAGTTAGGGGATCATGTATAACCATTTCATCACATCCAGCGTCTGCAACGTGACTAACCTTCTGACCAACTGAACAAACCACTGATTTTCTTGGATGAAGTTGATCTTTCACATAAAAAACTTGTTTGGCATGCGCGGCTAAAATGAAACAATCTTTTTTATGACCTATCTTATTTAGATCAAGTATTGTGAAGCCCAACTTATCTTCTTCTACATGCCTATTATCTACCCAGTCACACTTGAAAACCACCCTCTTAGTCAACAGATAGTGAAGGACCCAAATTTCAGTTAGAACGGCGTAGTAATTCAAGTCCGCTACAAGACTAACCCCACTATTTTGTGTAACACTGCTTAAATCCCGCTCCTTTGTAGCAAAACTAAATCCATTTATACTGTACCCAGAGTAAGTTGTCACTGTTGTGTTTGGTTTTTTAGCTAGCCATCTGACAGTTTTGTCCACATCAATTCCATTTGCAACATCATTAAGAACCTACAAATTATATGCTAAATATTCAGTATATTTATGTAACATTTTAAATATGATCAGTAACCATAAGTTAATAACGAGTAACCTTCTCTTCAAACCACTTAACAAATGTTCGATAATGCTCTATTTCAATACAACCATCATCATAAAATGATTGCAGCTCGAACATATGCTCCCTATTTTTTTAACAAAAAGAGTTAGATTATATAATATACACAAAATAGACAAAACCGAAATAAACAATGGAGTGCTTACTTTATGTACGGCTGAACTTCGGGCGTATTAAATAGAACAGTACGATGTGCTTGCTCAAGCAATGAGCAATCAACTATTTTAGTGTCCCCACGTCCTAGAGGCCTTTCAATTGGGTCATCATTATCAGAATGTGTAGGCAACCCAATTGATTCATGGTTGGAAATATACTCGGCACAAAATTCAAGAGCTTCCTCTACCACATAACATTCGGCAATGCATCCCTTAGGATGGTAATGATTGCGTACGAACCCTTTTAAGAATTTCATGCTTCTCTCAAAAGGGTACATCCAACAGAGAAAAACTGGGCCACAAAGACGCACTTGAGCAACAAGATGGACTGTCAAATGAACCATTATATCAAAAAATGATGGCAAAAAATATTGCTCAAGACAGCACATGGTGATGTGGTGACTGGACTCTAAATCATCAAGTGAATCAGGATCTAGGACCTTCTCACATAGTCTGTTGAAGAATAAGCACATACTAGTTATCGCATTGGTAACATTTTCTGCCACTGACATGTTCCGAATGGCCAAGGGAAGTATTTGTTGCATCAAGGTATGACAATCATGAGATTTAAGACCTTGAAGGTGACTGTCATCATCAGAAACTATGCTTTTCAGGTTTGATGAATAACCATCAGGCACTTTTATTTGCAGTATGGTTTCACAAAATTTTTGTTTGTCTTTTTTGCTCAGGGTGTAGGGTGCTGGAGGCAATGATTTGGAATTCTCTTTAGGAATTAAGTTTTTCCTAATGTTCAAATGAGCAAGGTCATCTCGAGCTCTAGGTCCATCTTTTGTTTTGCTCGGTTGATCAAGAAGCGTTCCATAGATGCTCTCACACACATTCTTCTCTATGTGCATCACATCTAATAGATGACGAACCAATAAATGCTTCCAATACTCTAGATAAAAAAAAATTGATTTGCGCTTGAACAATCTATTGTCTCCATCGTTGTGATCACGCTTTCCCTTTCTTTTGCGGTCCTTGCGCTTCCCGCTTTTGTAATTTATTCCTTCAACCAACTTAAGAACATCTTCACCGGAGAGGATTGCTGGAGGTCCCTCTCTCTCAACTTGATTATTGAAGACTTTCTTTAAATCTCTAAACCTGTGGTTTTTCGGTAAAAAGCGACGATGGCTCATATAGACACATTTCTTACTACATTTCAGCCATATTGAACGAGTGCCCGACCCACAAACAGGACATCCAAAATACCCCTTCACGGTGCTACCAGACAGATTACCATAAGCTGGGAAGTCACTTATGGTCCACATCAATATAGCTCTTAACCTGAAGGTCTCCTTTCTAAAACTATCGAAAACATCTACACCATCATTCCACAAGGTTTTAAGGTCATCAATCAGGGGTTCTAAATAGACATCTATATCATTCCCAAGAAGTTTAGGACCAGAAATTAAAAGAGATAACATCATGAATTTTCTTTTCATGGTCAACCAAGGGAGGGAGATTATAGATGACTAACTGAACAGGCCAACAACTATACGAAGAACTAAGTGAACTGTGTGGATTTACTCCATCACTTGAAAGAGCTAACCTCAGATTCCTAGGATCTTGACTAAAATCAGGCCACATTTTATCGATGTGATGCCAAGCTTGAGCATCAGCAGGATGACGCAATTTACCATCTTTAATGCGATGGTCTGCATGCCATGTCATGTCTTCAGCGGTTTTAGTAGACTGGAACATACGTTTGAACCTAGGAATTGGAGGAAAGTACCACAATACTTTCTCAGGAATTCTACTAGTAGCTGTTATGGATCCATTCTTTGTCTCTTTCCACCTAGACTCTCCGCACGTAGGGCATTTTTCAAGATCATTGTGTTGCTTATGAAAGAGGATGCAATCATTGCGACAAACATGTATCTTTTGGTAATCCAAACCTAACACCTTCATTATTTTTTTAGCTTCATACATTGACTTGGGAATTGTGTTATCGGTGGGTAGTAGACTCGATAGAGCTTCTAATAAAGCTGAGAACCCTTGATCAGACCATCCATATTTTCCTTTTACATTATACAACAACAATAATCCTGAAAGCCTTGTATAACTTGAACCTGAGTATAATGGTTTCTCAGCATCTTCAACTACATCCTTCAACCTCTTTGGGTTACCATCTAGTTCTTCATAAACATCGCCTAACATGTCACCAATTTCATTTTGATCATGAAAATTTGATTGAGAGGGATTAAAGGTTGGAGTTTTTGCAGTCTCTCCATGCCTAGTCCAAACAAGGTACGTTTCCAAGAAACCAACTTTTAACAAATGTACTTTTATTTGTTCAGGCTTATGAAATTCCATGTTACAACAATTTCTACACGGACACCTAATTGATCTACAATTTTCTGAGTTGAGCATAGAAAATTGTAAGAACTCATCAACTCCATTTCTGTATTCTTCAGACAACCTGTTTCCATCCTTTATCCAAGACCTATCCATCTCTCAATTCCTGATAATTATTAGATCCCAACAAAATATTTATCATACATGCTTAAATAACATATGCAAACACTTGGAAGAAATCGGGGGGAATACTTTAACCAAAGAACTTTGTTCAGTTTAATGTTATTACTTTCATATTTTCTACACATTTTAATATTAACCAAAGAAC